AGTCATAACACATGAACCTGTCATGACGTCTCTTTTATCGTCACTGTTTTCGTCCTGCGTTTTCACTTTTCTGTCTTACTTTTTAGTTTGCGTATTTTCACTGTGGACTATGTAAAGCATATTAACTGTTTTTACAATATTTTAAACAGATTGTACTCTTTAACTGTTTTATCAGTAAGCTAAGCAGAGACAGCAGAACCTTTCTGAATTAAACCTGTGACCTCTGCTTTTTTTTTTAAGGGAAATTCCTCATCCATGGCTTCAAGAGAGTAGCTTAGCTGTGCTTTAATCCTTTAATGTGTCAGATATCCCGTCTGATTCTTCTCCTGCCTGTGCTCTGGCTCGTATACAGACGTCTGGTTTGCAGAGCAGCTCCCTGCTCGTCTCTGTGTGGGACCTGGCAGGTTTGGTGCTTTTTTTTTGTTTTTTTTTTCCTTTTGTATTCCAGGACGTAAAACTCCAGCTCTGTTCCTCAAGACAGACGGATGGCCTTGAGCATCTGGAAACACCAAATATGTTTACACGTCTTTTAAAAGTCCAGTTTTAGTCGACTAACATATATCGAGTGTTTTAACATCACACACGAAATGACTGAGTAGCTATAGGTTGCAGCTTTTGCACCTGGGAGACAATTGCTTCTCGTCTTTCCATTGTAGATGATCTGATTGCAAGCGAGGCCGTCTTTCTATCTTTATTTCTGTGTCTGACTTTTCCCCTGCAGCAGTAGCTGACGTAGGAAATAAAAAGTACGAACGTGTGTCCAAAGTCTGACGACATCAGAGCTGTCCTCCAGAGTAGCTTTTAATCTGTCTGTCTGCACCTCTGTGTGTCTGCCAGAAAAGCACAGGAAGACGATGATTGATGCACAGCTGAGGAACGAACTCTGAGAGGATAAATTTCGACTGATTTCCAAGGGAATAAGACTCTCATTTGTGTGTCTTCGTTTAGTGTGTTGTTGAGTGTTGGGTGTGTTAGAAGTCAGAGTAAATAATTAATGTGCGGGTTACAGTCGGAGGCAGAGAAGTGGGTCAGAACTGCAGTTAGTTCGTTGGACATTTGTAAAGCTGGGAGAGGGGGGAAAGATAGATGGAGGGATTTACATGACGGAAATAATTCAAATGTGTCTTTTTCTACTAAAAAACAAATGCTTTAGATTAGTCTGACAAAATCTGCTTCTTGCTTTGCACACTTTTGTTATTGATTGTATGTTTTTTAAAGAAAAGTTTCTTCGAGAAAAGTAATCTCTCTTTTGTAGATTTTTTCAGCCCTCTTTGCAGCGTACACCTTCTAATTAGTATGTGCATGGCATAGCACAGCTCTCTGTTCTCTCTGTGATCAGAGTAGCAAGTTGAAGTTGTGTATCAAGATGTGTGTGTGTGATGGATTTATTATCGGTTTAGTTTGCACTGATGTAGTAAGAATATAATCTTACTGCTTTGATCTTAGGTTCTGTGTTTGTCTTCTATATTTTCTGACCATAAATACAGCCGATATTCCTGAATTGACGAGTAATAAGTGGTTCTTTTAGCTACAAATTGATGTGATTGATCGTCATGTTGAGGCCACTGAGGGGATGACGAACATACGAGGCAGACTGCACCACAAAGTTCTGATTTAGATGTGGTTTTGTGTGTGTGTGTGTGTGTGTGTGTGTGTGTGTGTGTGTGTGTGTGTGTGTGTGTGTGTGTGTGTGTGTGTGTGTGTGTGTGTGTGTGTGTGTGTGTGTGTGTGTGTGTGTGTGTGTGTGTGTGTGTGTGTGTGTGTGTGTGCACTTACAGGGCTAGTATAGGCCTGTCCTCTCTCCCTGGAGGCATGTTTGGGGTTCCTATTTGGGCCCTTCACCTTCACAAAAAACCCACTTCCCCTTGGAGGCCTCCCCTGGCCCCTTGCTTTGCACGTGTTGACACACACACACACACACACACACACACACACACACACACATATATACATACAAATGCACTGTAAAACAACACACGCATTAAGTGTGGGCAAAGATGCACAAAGTACACACCTTCTCTCCGTGCACATTGGCTGAAGTACACACAAACATGCTCAAACATACTTTTGGTGGCTGGATCGGAGAGTGTGACAGAAGTGGCCTCCGGTGATTGAGTGCTTCCTGGTGGAGGTCAGGTCGAAGGGAAGACTTTTTTAGATGGAGGAGATAGAAGGGAGGGAGGGAAGGAAGGACTGGAGTAGAGCGAGAGGATGGGGAAGGAGAGAGGGTGTAATAGTTGTTGTAAATAACTCAGGGAAAAATTCAGGGAACGCAATCAACCAGTCTGCTTCCTCTACTCTGTTATTTTCCTTGATTTTAAATCATATCACACAGAAAGAGAGCAAGACAACCTCTGAAAGACACAAGAATTCCAATTCCAATGCCAATTGTATCATGGTGCATTAAACTAATGATGAGTTAAGAAGTAACCTTCACTTTCCACACTTGGTCAGGATGAAGAATTCATCTGATTTATTTGTAATTTGTTGTTCACCGTTGCAGTAAACCATAGGTCCATATTGGGTAATGACAGGATATCTCATGATACAAGATGAGATATGTAGCCCACATAATGCTTATATGATGATACAGCGATTATTTGATATATTGCAGGACAATCTTAAAGAAATTGTGTGACATCTGATCAACTAAAGATTAAAAAATGCACATTAGAAGGTCAGGTGCATTTCCTCCTCTGAAAATAAACCAGTTGTTTTAATGTTGTTTCGGTGTGTCACTTCCCGTCCCGCTCGATCTTTTCTGTGGTAAATTGATGTGCATGATATTGATTGTTTTCTGCTTTTCCCCCTCAGATTTTTTAAGCATGTCTATTTTTTTCACATTCAAACACATTCCTGATCTCATCTTTAAGCCTCTGTCTGTTGACGTAAGATTAAAAGCTGATGCCTTCCTGCATTCTAATTTAACTGGCCTATAAAACATTTTCACAAAAATATGGACACCCATGGACTGCAGCTAAATCATGGCACAGCCTTTAAAGGCACCAAAGAATGTTTATAGGTGTGCAGTAGTATTTCTGTAATGTGTCAGTGAGGCCTATGCAGGTGTTCATGAGTGTGCATGTGTGTGGAGGTCTGTGATAAACACTAGTGGAGTGTGTTTACCCGCTTGGTATCACTTTGTGAAGCTGTCGTTTACCAAGACATACACACAGATGTAAAGTGTGTGTACAGCAAGGACAAAAGAGTGAGCGCTGACGAGTGTGTGCACATGTGTGTGTGCAATTACTGTCCTATAATAGCATATCTCTCGCCGTCTGTCCAGATTTCAAGTGCAGCTTGCCAGGAAGTGTAATTTCCTGCTCAGAGCCTGATTCAGCAGCATCCAGCTGTTGTGTTTGAGAGAGAAAGGAGGGAGAAAGGGAGACAGTAAGATGAGGCACCCTCCTGTTTTTTCCATACAGCTCCTTAATAGTTGTTTTTCCAGGTGTCAAATACCCCCCACCCCCACTCTGCCAGTCGTATTCCCCCACCCACAAACCCACCAATCAGTCCTCCTCCTCTCCTGAGTTGTTCTGGCCTCACACTTTCAAGTTGAAAACTCCAGCTCCATAAAATCCCCAAAGAGCAGACAACGTATCATGTGTCCGCACTCTCCAACTAAAGTTGTAATAACCTTTTAATGTTGTTTTTCCATCCTGTGGTTAGTCTGAAAAGTTTGTGTTTGAGTGTAGGCAAGGTTTATCAGACAAAAAAAACCCTGAAGAAATAGGATAATTAATCTAATTTGATAAAGAACTTAGATTTTCCAGACGTTAACTTCCTGTCTGCTTTAATTTGCTTTTTTAAAAGTTCCAGCATAAATAAAACAGATTTTTGAAATTCAAATATTCTGCAATTAAGAATTTTAGCCTGCAGTGTGTTTGTATAATTTGTATTTCAGCTGGAGTTGTGACTCCATGTGAGTGGTTGTGATTATAGTTGTTCCTTATTACCTCAGAAAAATAGTTGATGTCTATGTATGAATGTATGAATACAGAGTATGGGCATATACATGTAGGAGGGCACAGCTCTAAGTAAAGCGTTGCCTTGACGGTGTTGGAGAGAAATCAGATAAAGAAACAAAACGGATACGTGTATGCATCTTAAAGTGAGTGACAGAAGGAAAGGAGATATAGAGAATGTGCTGACATGCTTCATCTCTTTAAAACAGCCTTTAAATGTCTTCACAGATCACTGTCGTTTTCAGATTTACTGCACAACGTGTTTACCTTCCAGTCAGACTCTTGGAGTTCCTGGTATGCGGCATGCTATACGGGTATCTACATATTGCTTGAGTTCTCTCGCCGCATCGAGCTCTGCCTAATGTAAACCCTCGAGCTGGGGAAGTTCATCAGCAAACTAAAAGCTTTCATTTTGAAAACACCAAGATAAAGAGGATGGAAATTGTCTAAATTAAAAAGGCTTTGAGCGGTGTTGCAGCTATATGTATTACGTACAGTAATGGACAGCTTACTAAATACAAGTTATATTGGATATAAAGGCTCATTGTGTGTTTTGTTTCAATGCCTTTGTTGGGTTTTCCAGTGCGTTACTTACTTTTACTTCTTGTATATGTGTTTAGACTAATGCTTGTGCACAGGCAGGGAGACAGGAGCGGAAACACAAAAGCAACAGGTGTTTTCCACTTTAACACCCACCTCTCTTTTACTTGCTTAGTCGTGATTTTCTCTGTGGGAAGGCTCTTTGAAGCTCGGCTGTGACGAAAGAGTGAGCCACATCTTTTTTTCTACTTTGCCTGTTCATGTACTTGCGTGTGTTTGAGGTTTATGTGGTTAAACCCGTGCATCAGCTGTTATCAAGGAAGAAAGGGAGAAAGTCTTAGTCATACGTTTGCGCACTTGCACTCACATTCTGATTGATCCGCATCTTGGCAAGTGTTTTAATGATTTACTCTCTTCCTGTTTTTTTTTTTTTCCTTTTCCCTCTTTCTCAAATCTCCATCCTCCCTTCTCCTCTCTGCTGACTCGCAGGTGGTGTCCTCCTGTCAGAAACACACATCTACCCCTGACACATGGCTAACAGTGGGAGACGGAAGGGGCGAGAAAGAGTTGGGGAGTGACATATACGCTGAAGACGGCAGAAAGAGGCAGTCGGCCATCTGTGGTCGGTCCCCCGCTACTCTGCAGCTGTGTTGGAGTGAGTAAACCGTTCTGGGCTCCATCAGGACTCTGGAAACAACAGACTGAGATAGAGGGGTTTTCCGACAGCTATTGCTCAGGCGATGAGCCTACGCTGGGGCAATGCTAAGACCTCGTTGGCCATGGATTAGGCCCCCGGGGCTTCTTCTTTGGAAGGACGGGTGACACCCCAGCTGGATTTCTGCTGTAGCCAAGTTCCATGACTATCATTAGTGGCTAATGAACTGCTGCTAGAGAGGAAACACAGAAGGACCCTGTGGAGAGAGAAGGAACCTTACATCTGTTATTAAGCGGCCCAGAGATCACTAAAAAGGACTTCCTTTCCTCTGCATGAGAATAGAACTCTTTAAAGTTTAAAGCATTACGATAGGGTATCTGCCTTGGAAGTCATTTTTGCAGACTAACTGGTTTTTATTTTTTATTTTTTTACTTGATTATTGGAGGTATTGGATAATTGCCACCATGATACTGAATGAAATCTTTTCAACTTTTCAACTTCCTTTTTTTCACTTGACTGAAGGAGTTTCAACAAAACATTAACATCACAAAGGATTTTTTTGCTTGAGCTTGACTGTTTTTTTTATACATTTAGATTTTTTTTCTACCTTTCTATGCCCTGAAAGAAATAGATCACCATGGCAGCAGCATATCGTGTAGTGGTGAGCAGCGTGAGCTGCTACAACAGTGTGGTAGTAGACCGGCGCACTCACTCCCATGCAGTGCACTACTGCTCTGGTCCATGTGGGGCGCTGTCCCAGGGTCTAGACTGTACTGTCGCACACCGCGGCACGTGCTCCGAGCTGCTTGTTGCACCTGACCCTCCATACACTGATCCAAACAGCATACAAATACACTCTCACAACATGATCACCCACCATGGTAAAATTAGTGTTACCATGGATACAAGCTATAATGGTGGTCTAGAGAGAGCAGGAAGCAGTGGCAATTTGTCTGTAGGGGAGGATAGCCCAACGTGGCGCGGTAAAAAGAATCCTTGTCTTGTAGGATCCACAGGAAACTTGAGCTCCTCTGGCAGTCTGAAGGACATTACGGAAGAGGCCATTAACCTTGCAAGTGGTAAAACCAAAGAGTTTTCCTTTGACAAGCTTCGCCTCTCCTCTTCAAGCCATGTCACCTTCCGGAAAGGTCGAAAGGTCCGTCCTGACTCTTTCAGCCGTCGCTCGACTGACCTGGAGATCATCTATGGCCACTTCAGCTCAAACATTGCTACAAATGGAATGACTAATGGCATGACAAATGGCACGGTAACTTCTAATGATGAGAACCTGCCACCATTTGTGCCAGGGAAAACAACAGAAGAGACAAAACTGAAAAGCAGTACAAGCACTTTGTCAGCCATCACCAAAATCGGGGGTGGGTCGACAAGCAGCATGACCAGTATTGGTTCTTTGGACCAAAGCCTGAACACTGTGGCCTCCTTGTACCGCAATGCCTTTGGTGAGGAGAATCTCATTGCTCGTCTGCTGGAGAAGACTCGTGCAGAGGCAGGCACTGGGGGAGCAGGCGGTGAGGACATTCGTGCCTGCCTTGACATCCTGCTTAAATGTTCTGAAGACCTAAAGAAATGCACCGACATCATAAAACAATGCATCAAACGCAAAGCTGGTGGAGGGCCAGAGGATGGCGGAGACAGTCCTGACAGTGTTTACCGAGCTGTGATGACCCGACTTAGCTCCTATTTGAAGAGACTACCTCTGGAGATAGAGGGAATTGGCAGTTTGGGTAGCACTGGGCAGGGAGGTCAGAGCTTGCCTGGGAGTGGGCACAGTGATCTGGCAGAGCTGATCAGTACCCTCCACTCCATCCAGCAAGGACCATACTCTCCAATGTTCGGCAATGAGCAACCTCCTCGCTATGAGGATGTGGTCCAGTCACCTCCAAGTCCAAAGACTGTTCCTCATTCTGCCTCTTTTACTCCCTCCTCATCATCTTTGAAATCAGACTCCATCCAAACCAAACCAGTCCTGAGTTCCCCGTCCAGAGCCAGTCCACTTACCAATGGACTACAACATTCACATTCTTCGTCTATTACACAACATACACTCTCTCCTCCATCCATTACATGCACTCCATCCAGCATCTCTCCAACACACACCCCATCGCCTCTGCGAACCTCCCCAACACCACCGTACTCACAGACTCCCCCGGCGTCCCCCATGGAAGCTCTTTACATTGAGGAGGAGGAAGCAGACGTTGACAAGTCAACAGAGCAGATCTTTCATCAGGCACACAATCCAACAAGAGGGACGAACACAAATGGGCAAACTTTGGGTCAACACATGAACCTGTCCCATCCACAAACACTCAATAACACTTTAAATACTTTGCCTGCCAGCACTGGCTATAGCTCCCCTTGGTCCTCCTCACAATCATTAACAATCTCAGCACCCAAAGGTGTCTCTCACAGGAATGATGACATTGACAAGCTGCTGATGGACTTGGAAAACCTGTCACAGAGTATGAGCCACCCCAGAAAATCTGAGCCTCCTCTTCCAGCTAAAACCAGGAAGAGGGAAGGAGGTCAGGGAATGACTTCAGGTGAGGCCTTCACTCATCCCAAAATGTCCCAGTTCCAAGTACAGAAGCAGGACAGTCACCTAACCATGAACGGCCCTAGCTCCAGGACTCCCCAGATCCTCGCTCCTACCCAGGGTGAGAGCAGTGACGCTGTGGTGGGTGAAGAGGAGGATGGGGCTCTGCTAATGAGGATCCTGGAGAGTATTGAGAGTTTCGCCCAGGAGCTGGTGGATTCTGGGGCGGGGAGCACAGGGAGTGCTGAGAGGAACAGTGGGAAGGAACGGATATGATGAGGCTTTTGCAGGATACACTGGCCACAACTGACAGGCCTGACACCCCTCTGGAGAGTACAAGCACACTAGCTGCTCCTATGGCGCCTTCAATGCACACAAATACAGTCCCAGCTATACCACCAAAACAGTGTCAGGCAAACACACCTGCAGTTTCATTTGCATCGACACATGTAAGTGCAGCATCTAAAGATGTGTGTGATGTAACATTAGGACCTGTACTTAAAACTACATCTGATGTTACCCCTAAACTTCTGCCTGCACCCAAACCTGAGCCTACACCTGAGGCTGCAGATAGACTTACAGAAGCCTCTGCGAGTGGCCCTGATCCAGAATTCATACCTGCACCTGTAAGCTTGCATTCCTCCACGTATCCAACTGAACTCACACCCGTGGCTGCACCTGAAGCTCCAGCCCCCGTCGCCAACCATGTGGTGGTCGGCGCAAGAGACGCTGCCGCTGAAGATCCGGCTGCCGGGAGAGAAGTTGGTTCAACCCTCCTCATCCAACAGACGCCAGAGGTGATCAGAGTAAGTGAAAGTCACACAATTGAAAGTACCTATTCTACCTATTTTGATCAGGTTTGCAGTTTTTTCATTTTGTGATTTTAAAGGAGATTTGCATGGATTGATATTTTGATTAATGCGTGTAGTCTTGCACAAAAAAATATATATATTTGATATGTATCACATAGCTTGACTTAACCATTATAAACCTCATGAATTTATGAATAATACATCATCTTTTGATTATCCTGTTACTATGGAGGTAATACATGGGTACTACTGCATGAGAATAGCTGACTGACAGCTAAACAGGAACCAAGAAACAGTGAGTGATTGTCAGCATGAGATTGAGAACGCACAGTTGGAAAGAAATGCTCTTTTGCTGTCATTACGTGCCAGATAAAACACCCAGGCGAGAATTTTATCGCTATGACACAACGGGGGTTGATGCCGCTGTAATTGATGGTCCGTGATAAACACTGCTCTGTAACTGTGATGAACACAATGATACAGTTACGCTTTCTGGAATTGAATAAAAAGATTAGTGCTCAGAATTTTGGAAAAGAACGGCTCATTGTGTGTTAGGAGCGGCTCTTTGTTGACTTTTCCTGGTTTTCTGACTTTTGTTTAGGGCTGTAATTGTGTGGATGTGTGTTTGTGCATGTGTGTGTGCCACATGTGTGTGTGTGTGTGTGATCAGGCATTCGTGTTTGTTGGCTTTTCTTTCAGCTCCAGGGAATATTTAGAGGTAATTTAGGGTTGTGCTCCAGAAAGAAGGCGAGGTTAAGGAGAGTTGTGTTCCTTTTTGTGTGTTTACGTATGTGTGTGTCTCTGTAATCTTCAGCTATAGACACAGACACACATGGGAGGGCTACTTCAGCCCGTCTCCAATGTGGGTGTTCAACAGCACTCTGTAGGTTTAGGTAATTATCTATGACAGACAAACACACATTTACACCCACACAGAGTATCAAATCAGTGCTGTTAGTTTTTCTCTCTTACTGTGCTCTCTCATCATCCTTCTGTCTCCTCACCAGCCTCCTGCTGCTGTTTTTGTGTGTCTGTTTATTTACTGAGCGGTGTAACCTTATGCCCTGCTGATATGTAGGGCACCTATTTATGAGGTTACCATGGTAGCTGCCACATTCAGGGCAGAACATCCAGAGCCCGAACAAATCATTACAAACAGAACTTATTCCTCCTCCGTCCTCTTTCTCCTCTATCCACTTTTTGTTTGTTTTGTTTTTGATATTCTGCCTCCACATTTTGTGTGCTCTTCATGCCCTAATTGCATATCTCTCCACTTTTCCTTTCACTTCTGCATGTGTCCCATTTTGTTTTTCTCAGCGGTGTCCTTCTTTCACCTGAAGTCAAGGAGTCGGTCCATGTTGACCACCACTTTGCCGTCCAGCCATCTGATTGGCTGCTGTGTTATTTTGGGAGTGCTGAATAACAGTTGTTGCTGTGTGGCGGGCAGAGATACCCAATAGGAGGTGCTGATTGGAGCACAGCAGGAGCTGGGTTGGTAGGATGTGGTGGTGGTGGGGGGGGGGCACAAGTTGGCACACGGAGTGTTAACGGTATCGTTACCCGCCAAGCCCCCCCGCCCCTGGCAGACATAGGTGTGAGGGAGAACTAAATCTGTCCACCCCTCTGTACTATGGCATCTCGCTAACAGACTCACTGTCGCCACAGTGTAAATGGACCTGTGTGTGTGTGTGTGTGTGTGTGTGTGCGTGTGTGTGCGTGTGTGTGTGCGTGCGTGCGTGTGTATATGACTATGTCCATGTTTGTTTGTTTGTGCAACCAGTCTTTCTAACATGTCCAAATGTTAAAGTGTGTGTGTGCGTTTACAGATGTGCTCATGCATGGTCATATGCTTACTGTTGTTTTCATTTGAATCTCGTTTGGATGATGGTATTTATGCCAGAGCTAACGTGCATGTGTGTGTCTGTTTGTTGGCCCAAGGGTAAGTTGACCCAGTGCTACTGTGGGTCACAGCTGAGTTTGGGAATAGCTCCCTGACACCCAATCCTGTCTCTGGCACCCTGGAAATTATGCTAATATTTCTCACTGCCAACCCCGCCTCCTGCCTCAGCTTCACATTAAACTGCCAATCAAACTATAAACAAGACAAGATCCCCCCCCCGCACACAAGCGAGAAAATGCCCTTGCACTCTCAAACACGACTACTCACACACTCTACCTTAGGAGATTTGTAGCTGTGTTTCTCTTGGCACTGCCAGGGCTTTGATGGGAAGCTCTGCTAAGCCCTCTGGGATGACACCGGCCTCGGGCAGTAGCATCATCATCTGTGTGTGCATGTGTGTGTGTGTGTGTGTGAGAGAATGCACGTGTATATTGTTGATTCTGCTGCTGACAGACTAATACAGAGCTTTCTGCACCTGTCAGAGCAGACCCATTAATCTCCATGGAGACAAGAAAACCAGCTGATCTATATCAGAGGCCAGTCCAAAACAGTCAAACTCAAGAGTGATGCTGCAAGTTGAGTCCACTAAGTCTGTATGTGGTACTTAAGGTCAATGACCTTTTTAGCTTCTGTCTTTTCTGGTCACCTCTCTTTTTTCGGATAAACAAGAGGAGATGTTTCAGAGCACATTTTTGAACCTAAATTTGACCTGCATGTCTTTGTTTCCAGTGGGGTTGTTTCAGTTCAGCCAACATGATTTACAGACACACACACATACACTCCTTGCAGAGCTGACAGTCTGATGGCTTAATTAACCTGCTGCCGATTTAAGTGTTTTGCCAACTGCTCTGGATGTGTTGCTAGGCTAAAAACCATGTGGTCAGTTCAGGTTAGCGACAGAGGGTGCTGGAGGGTTTCCTCCAATTTTGACAGCCTCTGCTGAAAAATGAATACAATTTGGGTCGTATTAGGTAACACGTCTAACATGTCAAATTTAAAGACATAAAGAACATAACCTTTCATTTTTTCAAGTCCTAATTAGCCAGATCAGAACAGGTAAATGTCTCAAAGTACAGCTGCAGGGATTAGTGGATTAATACATTTTTACTGAAAAGAAAACCAAAACATTATATTGAAAAATGTTTCATTATTTAAGTCAGTGGTGGGCAACTGGGGCCTGGGGGCCACATGCGGCCCCCATCAACCCTCAACATGGCCCTCAGGTCAATTTTTACATATCAATTAATTGGAAACATGAAGAAAACATGACAAAATCTGCCATGAAATCGTGAAAACCAGAAATATGTCCATAATAATATTTGATCACTGGTATATATTGAGTTAAATTTGACACATAATTGACTGTAATCGTTTTTGTTTCCTACTATTTGGCCCCCTGGCAGTGAGAATGTGGCCCTTGCTGTGACCAAGTTGCCCATACCTGATTTAAGTCATTCTTCAAATTTCAAAATAAGTGAACCGTTCTCTGGTTTATGTTTGTCATATATGAGGATTTATTGTTTCTGTTGTATTTTATGAAAGTAAAATGATGCAGCACTAATATGAACTTTAAAATAACTGTAAGCTAGTGTTCCTCTTTTTGTCATATCTTGCCGGTTTTTCCTCATTTTGCCAGCTACAAAAAATAGTAATTGTGTACCTTTTCAATAGAAAGCTGCTCCTTTTTGGCAAGGGGAGATAGGATAGGATAGAATAGAAAAGGATAGAAGGAGCTACATTGAAAAGCTCAGAGATAAGAAAGAGAGAATAGGAAGACACAAAATCCAAATGAATGAATGTTTGGGACAGCAGGGGAAAGTTTTTTTTTTTGTTACGCGGAATGTAACGGAAAGAGAAATTCATAAGAAGTAAAAGAAGAAGAAGAAATGAAGAAAACGAAAGACAAGAGAGGAGAAAAGAGTCATGCTATGGGGGATGGAGTTGCAAACGTGTGTGTGTGGATTGGGGGGGGGGGGGTCCTGCACAGTACAGTTGTTGACTCTGGGTCGCTGAAGATGACATCATTCCTCGGCTGCTTCCACAGGAAATAAGGTCACAGCAGGAACTTCAGCCAGGCAGGGAAATAAGCCTGTTTCAACCTGGGGAACAAAACACGCGGATGAATGCGTTCATTTATATCTACATGCACACACAAACACACAGAAACACACACACATACACACAATGCGCTCCCAGACAGGGGCCTGTGTTGCTATGTGTGAGAGGAGTTTTCCAATACCATCCAAGGTTAGCGATGAGGACAATGGAAGACTTCACAATAAGCCCTTTGAAACACACACGCGAGTTGTGCGCGCATACAAACACAGGCACAGACACACACACACACACACACACACACACACACACACACACATATTCAGTATTAATTATGTAATACTACAGAGTATACCACACATGAACACAAGTAGAAATTATGGAGTTATTTGAGTTACTTTTTCACTTTTGGGAGTTATTTGCACACATGCACGCACACACACATACACACACACGCATGCATGAACGCACACACACAAACACACAGAGCAAGTGACATCATGATTCACCACTCCCAGTGCAAGCTGGGAAAGCATCCAACTGCTGCTCTGCACTGTGCTCTGATGGAGTGTGTAAACGTGCACAAATGCTGTCTTGCAGACACACACTTAAACAGACTTCCGCACACATGCAAGTTTGACTTTTATCATCTCAAATTTTGTAGCTCAGTGGGAGGCATTGTTGCGTAGCTCTTTGGGCCTCCCTCGTGTCACCATAGAAACCACCACAACAAGTTTATAAGCAGTAGGGAGCTGGTAGGACTCCCCTTAGCCAGATTATCAGCTGTGCAATCTGATTGGCCGATGGCATTTCCCTCACAGAATCGCAGCAGCAGGGGAGATCAGATGGAAAGTGGATGAGTTTTTTTTTTTGGGGGGGGGGGGGGTTATTTCAGAAAACTGTTGATGTGAGTGTAGCTGGCTGTGTGTGCGTGTCTGTGTTTGTGTGTGTTTGTTTCCATGTGATGGAATTTGCCAATGTTCCAGAACATCCTGACTCGGTATTAGCTTGGGTGTCACCGGCCCCCCCACTCTCCCAC